TGTGAAGGAGGCCCTGATAGACAAGGCAGAAGAGTTCAGTGGAAGGACTACCATGCCTTCAATGGTGCCTACCTTCCAAGGATATGGTGAGGCATCACAATTACATTTACAATAATGGTTCCATTCTTGTTTCTGCTTGCCATGTCATTTATCTCTTGTTGCCTTTAGGAGTGGGTTTTTCCAGTGGAGCACGCTGGAAGGAACTGCGCCGGTTCTCCCTCACCGTCCTGAGGAGTTTTGGAATGGGGAAAAAGTCTATTGAAGAGCGAATCCAAGAGGAGGCCCAATTCCTGGTGGAGGAATTTCGGAAGACAAAGGGTAAGACATAGACATGGTTAGTTACCATTGGAATCTCCGTAATTTGGAATAAAGTCAGAAAAATTACCTTTTTGAAGCGATTTTTGACGTTTTTAAGAAAACTGAAAGTCCCTTTGCCCTTCTGAAGCTTTTTCTGCCATTTTTATTACGACTCATAATGTCAGTTGGAGTTCTCTGGCTCAAGCTAAAGAAGCCATTTTAAGCCAGAGAAGGAAGGAATTTCCTGGCCTCGGCTCAAGCCAGAGAAGCCAGGTTTAAAGCCAGAGAAACTGGTTTTAAAGCCAGAGAAGCCAGGTTTAAACCAGAGAAGGAAGGAATTTCCTCTGCTTGCTTTTCCCTGCTTCTGGAGTAAAACAACTACTTTCAAAGTAAAGACCACCCAGTGAAACAGGAAATAACATTTTCAAACCATTAACAAAAGGATTCAGAAGTCTCGGAAGTTTCAAAAAAATCATAAATAAAAAATAAATTTTGAACCATTTATTTTGGATCAAACAAGCCTAGTAAGAAAGGTGGCAAAGACAGACTGAAGCAATACTGTTCAGTAAAAGTACTGTAATCATCAAAGCAAGAGGGACCACAGCCAGGCCTTGTAGTCAAGGGAGGAGAGTTAGGGGTTGAAACCACTCCCAAAAAAAAAAATCAGGTAAATAAAACCAGGTTCACTCATGATTTTAACTAGTTAACCACATCCCTATGCGAAGTCTATGAGAGGAAAAAATTAAAAGACCCCCCTGAACTGCAAGCACTATCTCAACCAAATTTTGGCAATTTGTTCACACTGTCATTACCTACCTTTCAACTAATTTATACTGCAATAGCTGATATAATGAAAACAAGCAAGTTGGCCCACCCATAACTGACAGGCAAAGCCTAAGGTTGCGACAAATTAAAAGAAATGCATTCCCTAAAACCAACAAGACAACAGGTCCACTATTATCAAAGTAGAACAATACCAAGCATATATTTAACAGCTTGTACAAGATACAACAAGCAAAAATCTTGCATTCACAGTACCAAAAGGTAAATCTTCCTTGTAGGAGAGAGTTTGCAGTCACAGGTTCTATGAAACAGATTCCTCCTTCAAAGTAATAGCTTCATTTACTCTCTTATTCCTCATTACCGGTTTCGACTTATACAAAGTCTTCTTCAGGTGGAGAAATACAAAATAAAGTGGACCTAAAGGGAACGAAAAGATAAGAAGGTTTCTTAATAGCAAGTATGTTCGTATAATACAAACATGAAACTATTAAAAGACTGTAATAGTATTGTGAACTTAACATACTTATGTTTATTGTAGATTTTTGCTTACTGTATCTTGTACAAGCTGTGAAATACATGCTTGGTATTATTCTATTTTGGTAATAGTGGACCTGTTGTCTTGTAGGCAACGCCTAAGGCACTGTGGGGAATTAGAAGGTCCTCATGAAGGAGACCTGATTTGGTGTGGGTGGTTGACAGGTTCATAGTCTAATCCCCTGAAAGTCACAGTACTTAAGCAGTTATAGTTTCTCAGCCATAGAGTAACTTATACATACTCAGATTAAATAAATCTCCATTATATTACTTAATTATGGTGAATATCCTGGCAGTGTTTTCCAGGGCAGTACTTTTGTCTTCCATTTGGGTGATTTTAGTCTCAAAACAGTCCATAAGAAAAACTTAAGTTTAAATACAGTTTACGATGCTTCCAGATATATAACAACTCTGATAATTTGTGCTAATTTTAAAAGTTTATACTTATTTTCTCCTAAACTATCAAGTACTTTTTGAATAACTAGATATCAGATTGAAGGTATTTTATAGGCTTGTTTGATTTTAAAAAATGGTTCAAAACTTGTTTCGGATGTAGTTGCTGGTGGTTCGATTCTAAAGTCAATTCCGATTTTCACAGAAAAAAATGTTCAAAACTTTTCAAAATTTCAGAGACATCTGATTCTGTCCTTAATGGTTTGAAAGTGTGATTACCTGTTTCACTGGGTCTTTACTTTGAAAGTAGTTGTTTTACTCCAAAAGCGAGAAGGGGGGGGGGCAAAGGGAGGAAATTCATACACTCAGGTTTTAAACAGCTTCCCAGGCTTGAGACAGAAGCGGGGGAGAGGAAATGGAGGAAATTCATCCATTCTGGTTTAAAACCGCTTCCC